TGGTGGCCACCGTTCTCTATGCACTGATGCAACCATTTTCTGAAGTTCCCCTCTGCACATTCCAACATGTGCACTGGAATTTGGGCTACTTCCTCTGCTGAATAACATTCTTCAGCTGAAGAAGGTTTGTGGGGCGATGTTTAAAAACCTCTCCCTTGAGGCATCCCCATAAAAAACACAGGGCGTTAGATCAGGTGAGTGCGCTACCCACGGGATGTCACCTCGAAGCGAGATGAGCTGTCTGGGGAACTTTGCCCTCAAAACTGTCATTGAAGCTCGGGCTGTGTGGGCCGTGGCACAATCCTGTTGGAACCAGACATTTCCTAGATGCATTTCTTCAAGAGCTGGTTTGAAAAAGTTTTTAATTATGTTCACATACTGCTGTAAATTGACAGTAACTGCATGATTGTCTTCTTCAAAAAAAAATAAGGGCTAATAACTCCGACTCTCGACAACACACACCATATACTGTCACCTTATCACTGTGAAGTGGCCTCTCATGGAGCTCTCTGGGATTGTTACCACTCCAATAGCGCATATTCTGCTTGTTGACATAGCCAGATAGGTGAAAATGTGCCTCATCACTAAGGGAAACAAGTGTGTCGGGGTAAAGTTTCCAATAACGTTTTGCACGCCGTTATTTGGTTCTGAAAATCACGTGGTGACAATTCTTGCACAACAACCATCTTATAGGGATGGAAATTAAGATGTTCGTGAAGAATTCGGTGCATTGAATGATTGGATATGTCTAGGGCGACTGCATGTTTGCGAGCGGAGTATCTTGGAGATCTCAACATCGACTGCTAAACTGCCTCCACATTTTCTGGCGTTGTAACGGTCTGTTGTCGTCCTGATGATTTTTTCACCACACTCCCGGTTGTCCTAAAGTTCTCAACTCACAAAACAATCGATTTCTGGTCGGGAACCGGACCTCTGGGCTTAATTCCGAAGTGAGTACGGAACGCACGCTGCACCACCATGTAGGAATGGTTGTCTGAAAAATAGGCTTCGACAGCAAATGCACGCTGCTCATTTGTCCACTTCATGTTTCCTACTGAGGGGTATTAGACAGAAACTTCCGCAACTGCTGCGTTCGCCGAGCCTATCCCCACTTTTCTGCGGCCTCTCTTCCCTTCACAATGCATCTTCACACAAAGGAAGTTTCTGCGCCCCATCCTGGATGAAGAACGTGATATGAAACCGAAATCATCGAATTCTCCTGAAGACATACATATATGTGATTTGCTAGTTAATTTCTTGGACATTCATTGTGATGATGTCAACATTTCGACAGAAACTGTGGAAACATTAGAAGAAATAGAAAATAACTCTGACAGTTCAGGAAGTTGTGATTCAAGTGAAGAAAGGTGTGCCGATAAGAGTACACAACAAGAATACCTTCCTAGGCCAAACCAACAAAAGACTGAAATAGATTTCAGTGACAAGGAAAAGGCCGTGAAATTTTGGTTCAGTGAAGGAGGGAAAAAACGCTTAAAGCTAAGCAGTGTGCAAAACCGATTCCGTTTTGTAAAATAAGGTGAATTGTACAACTGGAAGAAAGAATTACATGAAGAAAGATACATGCATCAAAATGAAACTCGGAAAAGTTTGAAAGAACGACTACTTGAAAGATTTAGAACTGCATGTGAGAGACAGTGTACCATTACCGATGGAAATCTACAAGACTGGGCTCTTCGAATCGCGAATGAGATGAACATTAGTGATTTCCAGGCTTCTTCAACCTGGTTAAGTAGATTTAAGAAATCATACAGAATTGGGAGTCGGAAGATTACAAAATTTATTTCAAGAAAACTTGTAGGAGATACCATTAATCACGAAGGCTATAGAGAAATTCGTAGCTGACGTGAAGACGAAGCTTGCTGTTATCCCTGCAAGTGCTGTGTATAATGCTGATCAGTCAGGTTTCGAGGAAGAACTGTGTGCCAAACGCACGTTATCATTTTGCGGTGAGAAACAGACGGAGTCAGTAGTGCAATCAATGAATGCTATGAATCATTCTTATACAGTAATGCCAGTGACAAGTATAAGTGGATTACTATTGCCTCATCTTTATATGTTCCTTCAGGAACCTCAAGGCAAATTGGGACCACAAATTAAAAAGGGGCTGTTTACTTGCAAAAATCTTATAATTGACGTATCAAAATCTGGCAAAATGGGAAGAGTAATTTTCAATATTTCATTTGAACAGTCTTCTTCTTACCCATTGCAGAAAATAATTCATTGCTTTTGTTGGTCTCTTGGCCAGGACATAATGACACCTCTGTCTTTCAGGAGGACGACCAAAAGAGTGTTGATATAATGAGAATTCCCCCAGGAACAACCAGTGTGATTCAACCACTTGATAAAGAATTTTTTCTACAGTGGAAAGCATTTTTCAGAAAATTGTCGGACAATATACTTTCTGATAGCTCTGCATCATTTCAGGTCTTTCAACGGAACAGTATCCTTAAACTTCAGTCATTTGCACATTACCAGTTTTCATCGCCACGTTTTATGAACTTGATAAAGTATGCCTGGTACGCAGCACGATATGCAGAACAACGACCAGGACCTTTTCTTACTGCATCCCAATTTTGTCTACAAAAAACTGTTACTCACTGCGAAGTGCCTGAATGCATTAACTTTTCATTTTTGTGATGGCTATAAAGAATGAATGAACTGCTTCATTGTGTTTAAATGGGTATTACAAACTATATACGTATGTGCATTATGTCCATTATAACTAAATTCTCAAGCAGAGTGATGCACGATCATTCGTCCTTATTACCCAAGGTCAAGCTTCCTCTTGTCTCGTCACAGCTGTTGCGAGGGCTAGGAGGGGTTGTACAAACCTCTGGTACAAGCGATTCCGCATACAGAAAAAATGAGTGACTTTGGCAATTTTTAAAAAATACTTGCAGTGTGTATTAGCAACTAAAATTCTGACAGTGGATTTTGCTGTGTACTCTTGCAGTGGTGGGGGGGGGACCAGGGCAGGTTTTGACATGTCAGGTGTTAATATGTTAATATGAGGGTAAGTCAATAAGTTACAAATGGATATAGAACTTAAACAAACAAGAGTACTGGTTTGAAATATGCTTTTATTTCTCAACACAATCTCCCTGTACATTGAGGCACAAGCCCCTGAAAACCAGCAGCACAAAATTCTTTGGGCTGCTGTCAGAACCAGGCGGTGATTTCCCTTTCTACAGTTCATCATCGGGAAAATGTTCAGCCAAAAGATGATGTTTAAGAGGGCCAAACAAATGGAAGTCGCTTGGAGCAAGACCCATCACCTGTGACAATTCGGGCTAGCATATTGTGTCCCTCATCATGGTAGTGATTGAGATGCTGTAATGCCAGACCCATTCTTGGCATTTTGTGTTGTGGGGTCAGCATGCGTGGCACCCATTGTGCACAGACTTTGTGAAAACCTAACCTGCCATGTGACTTCCATTTGTTTGGCCCTCTTAAACATCATCTTTCGGCTGAACATTTTCCTGACGATGAAGCTGTAGAAAGAGAAGTCACCAGGCACAATAGATCACTGTAGTTGCAGTGCAGGGGCAAGAAGGCCCACTCCTTATACATTCAATCATTCATTCAAGGGAAGTCAACGCCTGGTTCTGACAGCAGCCCAAAGATTTTTATGCTGCTGGTTTTCAGGGGCTTGTGAAATGATGGGACAAGTGCCTCAATGTACAGGGAGAAATAAATGTTTAAGTAAAAAAAAAGGTAAAGCTAGCCCTGTAACAGGCCATGAAGGCCCATAGGGTTGTGAGACGTTGAGGGTCCCACATTATCTAGACAGATGGCGGTAAGATTGTCAGCCTTACGTGCCGGCCGCGCTTTACTCCCCAGGAAAATTATTTATTTAATTCCTGGTACTCATTTCTGTTAGAGGCTGAGTGAACCCTAGGGCCATAGTGCCGCTGGAAGGATCAGGTCAATTATCCATTTGTAACTTACTTATTGACTTACCTATGTATAAATGCAGCTACCTTTGCAGAACATTACAAGGTCAAAGTATTGTGACATGTTGCGCAAAGCCGAGCCCCCCCCACACCAGCAGTGACGGCGGGTGAGTCAGCGCTCCCCTCCCACCCCTCAGCGGTAACGTAACGCTCACGTTACTACGGTAATAGGC